AATAACCCCAAGTTTAAACATTGAGATGAGAAATTTTTTAGAAAAATTTACCCTATTTTCAAGAACTATTCACTATTGAAGTTACTCTAAGAAAAGTCTTTAGCTCGAGAAATGATAATTTTATGAAAATGATCGAAGACAAAGTAGGATTCAGGTTTGATGTGTTTATAGAGATGTTTACGATCCCTAGCCACAATGTCATTGCAAAATCCACTAATTACCATACTTGGAGTTTGAGATTTCTAAACAATATTCGCAAGCTAATCATTCTAGAAAAGAAGTATGACCATTAAAATGCAACACTCGCAAGAGACTAAAAGGGAAAAAAAAAAAATTATCGACGTCCAATTAATTCTCACCACAATTCTAGATCTTTCCTTCAAACTCTGCTTGAAGCCTCTTTCGTTGCAAAGCGCAAAGATTGAATCAGAGAAACACCCTGTTACAACACAAATATTAGTGAAACCAAACATATTAAGGTACCGAAAATTGATCGAACCTGATAAAATTCTTCGAATAGAAGGTATCGAAATCTTGAAGTCAATCACATCTCTCGATTTTACTTTCTCTCTACCACTCACTCTTCCCTCCTACCAAACTATTTTAATCTTAAATATGTAATAGTTAGATAAAACATTCCATACCTTAATTACTTTATGTATCTGCAAGAAGTCTTGATTAGAGACGTCAAAATGGACAGGGTATCAGTGAAGCCTGGACGCCATGCATCGCAGCATTATAATGGCGTGGATTGGACTGGACTGTACTGTCCGTGCCTTTTTACAAAACGTTTTAGTGAAAAAGAATTAAAAAATAAACATTGACGAACACGAGCCACCCCACGGTCGGGGATTTAAACAGGCAGGCCAACTTGCCTGTCTAGACACGACTAGCCTTGACCAAAATTACTTCTAATCAAGGCATCTGCAGACAATAAATTTCAAGTTATTTCTTTACTAATTACACACAACCATGTCAACTTGATAATACAACAGATCAACGTATCATTAAACGGCTTTTTTCTTAGTAAAAGATGGAAATATAAAATGAATTATTCTCAGCCAACAGAGTAATCACACGAACTTATTTTTTCTGCTGCTTATTACTAAAGATTTATGATTTTCCAATACTCCGTAAAAGATACTGATGGTTGACTGCAGAATGTTGTTACAGGCAATTTAACTCAAAAAGTTAATGAAAGCATCATGAAGAGAGACGCACATGCTCATAAATCTGAAGCACAACAAAGAAGCTGTGGGAGTTGCTTTCTCCTCAGTAATCTTCGAATTTCATTATTGTTAACTGAACTGCGTATCAAAAGACTAATATGAGGATATAAGATAATTCAGATTTCGAAGGACCCAAAAAGTTTGTATGATTGACAAGTGTTCTCATACCTCAAAAATGAAATGCTACAAATTTACTTCTAGACTTGGTTTAAATAATCAAATCAGTACTGCAGATTGGCACATCTGAAAATCACAACCAATTGTCAGTTCCTGAAATTGTATAAGATTGGAAGCAACCCTCCAGCTATGCTGTCTTTGAGGATTATGGTCCATGGTACAAAAATTATGCCACATAAAAAGGAGGTGTCTAATTCTCAAGCCCATATTCCATATTTCTTGACCTGTTTGGGTAAAACGTCTGTAGAAGTCACATGGGACACAGTGATTTCCCAAACCTAAACATTCAGTTTGTGGTAGGAAATGTTGACCTCTCAAAAAAAAAAAAAAACAAAATTAATTACAATTGCCTGAGGATAATCAATTTTACAACAGCAACAGACATATTTCTATATTCCAGAACTTCTCGAAAACAACCTAAACTTGATACATCCTTCACATTAGTATGGCTAGGTAAAAAGTATGACTACAGCATT